CCTGGGCCGCGGTCAGCACCGCGTAGAGAAATAGCTCGTTGCCGTCTGATTAAAGGCGGCATTAAAATGCTGGTGCTGGGAGCCTGCACTTGGCGGGTCTCACCGCAGGCCTGGCACTGGCGTTTTCTGATTTTGAGTGCTACCATAGATTGCTTTGTAGGTGATGGTGGATCTGCTTTGTCGTACGTATGTACGTACGTCATCTAATGAAATCATGGCCAAGTCAACAGGTGCTTCACAGGGACTTTACAGCAACAGGGGCGTCTCTCACTGCCGTTTAATATGCGATGTATTGTGCGCATACACCGTATTCCGTAACTAACAATAAGATGACAGGTAAGAACTGGTTATGTTCAGTGTTTCGCACAATCCGCCGTGAGCCATTAACAAATCTTTACAAACACGTTCAGTTTCTTGATTCACCTTAGTGCACTACATGGTTGCGTGCAGCCTCTTGTACCTGAAAGAGCAGAGCATCGTCACTTCGTGGTGTTGGAGACGAGAGTTGATGGAGTTGTTTTCAAATTTTTTTTTTAGTCTCCTGTTATTTACTGAAATTTACTTGGTTTGTTTTCTTGTTAAGTCCTGGCTTAATTTAACCTGGACTTAAGTTGAGGGAAAACAGTCTTTTTACATGGGTTTATGGAAGTTAGTGGATTTAAAAATGCTGAAGCATATAGTATTGTGATTAAACCATGCTCAAGGAATGATGAATATAAATGTGTAGAGGCGTGAACATAAATAATTTATGAATTGCTATAATAGATAAGCAGGGATGGATTTTTTTTTCCTTTAATGGTTACAGTTGTAGGCTAGTTTATCAATTCAGTTAATACTCATTTTTTTATCCTGCACTTAGTAGAGCAAAGAAAAAACCAGCATTCTCAAGGTATTTTGTGTGTGTAACTGCTCGTGTGTGGTATCCCCAGGATGACCTGCGTGTTTTTCAGAGTTGCAGCTGGAGGATGCGAGGTCCCAGGCAGGGCTGGGCATGGGCACGGGCACGGGCAGGGGTTGCGGCAGAGGGAACAATAGCAATAACTGGGCTGGTTGCGGTTCAAATCACTCAAGAAATTTCCTTTTTCAAACAAATGGCTTGGAAATCTTGCTGTATCTCTGCTTTCAGGCTGGTGGCCTAATCCTCAGGGGTATGGAAACAAGCTCAGGCTTTCTGAAGAAACTAGTGTGGGCTTAATGCTTATTGCCCTCACCGTCCCTTCCCCGGCATTCGTAGCCGCTCGGTTGTCCCCGCAGGTCCCAACAGACGCAGTGGGAGCGAGCCCCCGTGTCCTGCCCCAGCGTGGCTCTGCTGTGGCGGGCGAGCTGAGGTCACTTGTATCCAGCCCAACGCCCTCCGCGGAGCACGGCCCCTGCCGCCACCCTCGCGCCACAGGAGCCGAGAGGCAGAAGCGCCACGTCCCCACCGGAGAAGGAGCGAGGCCGTTCCCTGGGCATCCTCGCAGCATCATGACTCTCCAGGTAAGCAATTTGGCATCTGGTGAGGCAGAGATGCAAGGAGAGGAGAGGGAGGGATGCATTGTCCATCTGTGCAGTGCCGTGTCAGAGACAGCGATATTTCTTCAGCATAAGGATTATTACTGCAAAATCAAGGTTACCTTTCCGAACAGGAAATTTGCCTAAGCCTTTGGAGGTTAAATAATGCATTACTTTTCGCAAATGGAGAGTGAGACACATGCTGCTTATTTTGAACTATTCATAGGTCATGTAATTTTTTGGAGCCTTAACCTGTTTAGAGCATGCGTGAATTATTTTTCTTTACGTGTGTATCTGAGTTTGCTAGGACTGGATTATGCATTGAAAGGTAGGTACATATTTATTTTTTTAGGATCTGGCTAGTTACTTGGAGCTATAAGAAGAGGAGGGAAACTTCTAACACTGAAGCGGTGGTATATGTGCATTTGGGAAGCATGAATAATTTTTAAGGGAGTTGTGCATATTTTTTTAGGGTGTGTGCATCTTTGGAGTGGTACATTTTGATGGGCTTGTGTTTTGGTAGGAAAGCTTCTACTTTCTACCTTCTGGCTAGAGAGAGCTTCCTTCTACCTTCTCTCTGACTATAGATTTAAATAGTTCTTGAGGAAATTATCTTCATTGCTGGCATTTAGCCTCCTACCTTTGTAGTAAACTATGCATACTTCCCTTGTCTTGCCCATGCCCTGGTGGATTAGGCTGTTTTTCTTCATTAGGCTTTCTATTATCCCTTTCACTTCAAGATTTGCAAGCCCTTTTATCCTGGTCTCATTATAATGTCTGTCTCAGCTTGTTCAGCGTGCGTGTTTTGCAAAGAGCGAGCAACATAATGCACTGACCTAGATGCAGGGAGTGTATTGCCAGTAGCTCAGCAATTTTCTTCTGAGCTGTAATTATGTCGAACGGCACAGAGGTTTCATTGTGGTATTCTACGGCTAAGAGGAAGAATCCTATTTCTTCAGTGGGTCGGAATTGCCAAATCCCAAACATAACACCACCTTTGTTTAATTAGCGATCACTGAAATTATAGGGGTTTTTTAATTCTGCCTTGAATTCACTCTAGACAATAAATTTATTAGCCTGATGATTAAGCAATGAGCCATAAATAATTATTAGAAAGAGCTGAGTGCAGTATGATACGTCATTCCATTGCTGTATACAGTTATACTTTCACGTAAAAATCAGTGGTTGAAACATCACGATATCCTACGCATTCTGCATTAGACATAATAGAGTTTTTCTATCCACTGTTGCTTTGGTTGACAGCTACCATCCATATCCATAAAAATACATTGAATCAAGCTGGGAATGAGGACAAAATGAATAAAATACTGTTTTCATCAGGGAGGCTGTGAAAGATTTGTAAGTTTTGCAAACTAGTAAAATATTCTGCTGTAAATGAAGAATTCATTCAAGCTTTTTTCTTTGCAAAAAGGGAGTATGTGATAATAGTCTGATGATTTGTGCATTTATCTTTAATGCATGTGTGTATGTGTATGTTTATGTCTGTATATACACTTATGCTTTTAATTTGAGGAATTAAAGGGAATTTTATCATACATGATTAAAAGGAAATTATATTTTTATAGGCTGCTCCTAAGCATGTTGTGTAAGCAAGCAAATCCTAAGCAACAGTCTGTGCACAGTGATTGCCTAGAGGGAGATGAAGAAAGAAATGTTCAGTATTTAAATTTCATTTCTGCATATTTCTTGCTGTGTAAGATACACATTTGCATACTTTTAGAACAGTATCTTGTGATACTTGCCTATAGATCCAAATAGAATAAAAGTATATGAAGATAAGAAGCTTATTAACTTTATGGTTTCTTTTCTTAATTTATTTTTTTGAGTTATCTTTTGTCTTGTACAAGTCTAACAACGCTTCTAGTTCATTCTTACTGTGAAGTTTAGATCAGAAAATGATTCAAGGCACGCGGAAGATTTCCACTGACTTGAATGGTCCTTGTACGTCAGTGCTGGCAGAGGCTCACATGCAGTAGTGGCCACAGTATAAAGATGAAGATAAAACTTATTTAAACTTTAATCAATTGTGGCAACTCAGTTATTTTTTATTGTTGATACCACTTCTTAATCTTACTGTTAACAGCGCATGAATGCTGCTTTTGTTTGTACATGTATGGATAATATTAAAAGATGTCTGTGATGTAGGAGTCAGTGATAGGTATAGTCAGGAATATCACTGGTGTTTGGATTAAGAATGAAATATTTATTTTAATAAAATTTTACCTATAAAATAAATCTTGAGTGGTGGGCCATCACATTTATTTTCATAAGTAAACGTACATCCCTTTTATACATCTGTACCAACAGTGTGAGTGGAAATGCTTTGCTTTTAGGAGTGTCAAAGATACACAGTTCCAGTTTCTTTGGGACGCTGTTTTTAATTCAGTGATAAGTTAGTTGCGTTGCTGATTTTGTTTCCCTTTGTTGAGCACTTCTCCATAATAAATGCTATACATCTATTAAAAATACTGTTGTTAGTGCATATGTGGACATGTGTTTTTGCATAATTAGACTACAGTTTTGATACCCGAGTACAAAACTCCTTCGTATCCTAATGCTGCGGTGTCTGAAGCGCTGCGCAGCAGCGTGGCGTGTCTGCAGTGACTCTGGGGTAAGCCGGGATGTAAATTCACAGCATGTGAGTTCCTCCGCAGTAAGTGCCCATGTCCTTGCTCCTGCCCTGAGGTGAGCACAAAGTGGACCAGGCCTATTCTCATGGAGGGATAAGCTACCTATCTGTCAAGGTATATAGTGAGGTGAAAAGTCATACAAACGGTCTCACAAGTACTGTGAGTTCAGACTCCTGTTTAGCGTACAGCGACGTGTCCGTCCACCCCCGTGCTCCCAGGCTGGCGGTGCCCATGCGATGTCTAAGGCACAGGGCAGTGCACTCGTGCCCCAAAGCCCTGTATTCTCTCCCTGTGGTGTTGGTGACTTGCTGGCCTCAAACGTATGTGTTCACCTTTCTGGTTTTGCTTCTGAAAGGAAGGATAGTGATATTTCCTTACTTTCTATGGCCCTCGGCAATTTTTGGTGAAAAATTAAAAATTAGTTTAACATTGAATTTGCTGAAGCATTTCAGGTGGTTGTAGGAAATTCAGGTACAGTACCCTACAGAAGGAGAACGAGAGAAAATACCACATAAGAATAAAAATAAAGATTGTAAGGCTTTCATGAAAGCAAATATTAATATTACAAATACTAGGAATTCATCACAGGGAGGACTTTATTACATTGCTTACAAGAAGCACACATGAGCTATGGATGGTGATTAATAACTAAAGCACTATTTTTTTTCTTTTATGGCCAAAGGTACTTGTCTTCTGAACATCTAAGTTAAGCCAAGGATTGAATGATGCATGATTCAAAATGTTTTTGTTTGCACCTAAGCTAGAAGTTATCAAAGCTATCATTTCTTGAGAAAGAATTGACTTCTCTAATCAAATTTGAGATTAGGGTTTTCTTGTTTGTACTGATTTTTCTTCTGTGGCATCAAGAACAAGTAGATGTAGAGAATATACAGTTTTCACATTAGTCTAACAACTGATCCTAAGGGAAATACTATTACAACTTGTACTGTAAACTTCATAAAGTCCAATGAAATTCTAATGCCAAAGCTTACAGAGTAATTAGAGGTAGTTTCTTTGTACTGTTCTTTACTTAATTGCTGTTCAGCAGATTCAGTATTTAAAGAAGAAATTAAATTATCTGAAATACCTGTCTGTAGCCACAGCTATTGCAACCGTGGCAGTCCAGCCATGATTACAAAGATTTTGCAGCAAGAATTCCTTAGGGATCAGGTCGTACTGCTGTGTGCATCATGAAAACTTGGCCAGCTGATAGAAGATTTCTAAAGGCTTATAATTTACTGATTTGACCTGAAATATAAAGATTTTCATTCTTGTATAATTACGTTCATAAAATGTTTCTATATTTAACTATTTCCTTTTAACATCTGCAATTTAAAGGGGTTTTAGAAGAACAAAAATTAATCGACTTGCACTTTGTGGCAAATGCTAAAACTGTCTCCTGACCTATACATTGAGATATTTCACCACCAGTATAGACAGCAAAACCGTCCATTCGTGAATATACATATCTGAAGTTCTTATTTATAAGTACTGAATCTACATCAATATTAATGTCACTATTGCTAATTTAAAACATTAAATAGCTAAATTGCCAGAAATATTTGTTGTTCAGACCTGTCAGAAGATACAACTCCTGCTCCACAGAGCTTATTACTTTAAGATAATTTTAAAATGCTTGTTTTATGGCAGTGAGGAGATACACCCTTGCTTTCAGACTACAAAATGCCACCCTGTACAGGTTAGAAAAGGCCTCTCGATACTAGCATAACTTTACAAAAAGGTCACTACGTATTGTGAAGGTTGAGGACTATGCACAATATTGTATACCTCCTAACCCTCACACAGTCCTGAAAAGCGTTTGCTATTAAGTGTCGTTTTCTCTTCCTGAGTTTCTTTCCTGTGGTAGGGGTCCCTCCCATTAATAAGCAAAAGGTGATCAGAGGTAAGGTGCAGTTATGGAAAGAACAAAGGAAATCCGTAGACTTAGTTAGTTGGTAACAACTAGATGCTTTAATGATGCTTGAAGTGGTTTTGGGGAAACATTTGCATTTATTATTATTTAATATAAATCATTAAGCTGCTAATATGGCTACTTTTTAAATGGGACCCTCCACAGACTTTCCAAGATGTATTTACTTATACCAGTGTGACTATTTGTAGGGTACCACCTGTGGAATTTGTACTTTGTCAGGCTTCTGAGGGGAACATCAGGCAACTATTACTGTCTGTATCATTAAAGTATTTGGGAGACGTAGCCAAGAGCGCTCGATTCTGCAAACAGGAGAAAGGTGGTATTGACTCCGACAGCTTGCAGCTGTCAGAAAAGCTGAGTTTTTCTTCAATGCAAAGAACAGGTTCTGCTCACATAGCATGTATGTAATTTGTGCAGTAATTGTGTATTACTGCAACTTCTGCCTGAAAGTTCAAGGATTTATTATCATGCCCCCCTTCAGTTTAGCTGCAACTCAGACTGAAGATTTCAGTTTGTGTTTAAAACAGAGCCAAACAAGCCCCTCAAATGTTACTTAAACTCTTTGATGAATTGGAACAGAAGACACTTTATGAAACGTTTAACAATTTACTCTTTCAGCTGAGGTGAGAAAGCTTGTATTCCAGTTTTCTAGACTTTCAGGAAAACAAATAATCAGGTTTCATATTTCTGACATTAAACTTTGCACAAGAAAATATTTACATTTTCTTTATCCAGAACAAAGAAGCAAAAGAGCTTTTGTTGTCTATATAATCCATTTTTAATTCTGATCCAAGCTGACTAAATCCAGTTACTTCAATTAAAGTAGTTCTCATGATCAGTTTAATTCCTGCTAGAACGCTGATTTATTTTTTTTTTTAAAGTAAACAATAGAGTACATGGAAACAAAAAAAATGCTGAGAAAAGATGCTGTAATGTCATTTCAACATTATTGATTCAGCTTTTATATGTAGTCTGGAGCACATGATTTTGGTTTATCTAAATCACGTATGTAACATATTCTGTACGTTTTGGGTTTTAATTCTAGAAAAATCCTGTATTTGTCTTGCAGCACTCCCAAATATTGGGCTGGTTTAAAAAAAAAAAATCCAGTGTTTAGTTGTTCTTAAAAGAAATCAGACACAAAAAGTTGGACTTAAAACTTCATGTTTTTCTATGATTCTATGGTATAGTTGCATTTTATTAATATTGAGAATTATTTTTATTAAAACAGGAACAAATTGCATAAGCATTGTTACATGTTTCCAGTCTATAAAGTTTTAGATTTAAGAATATAATTTGGAAGTTATTTGATTTAGAATCTAATGCAGTAACTCTGCCAAATTGTATACTTTATCCAATGACCAAGTTTCAGAGCTTTAAGCGGACAAATGGCACTTGGAATCTGGTTAATTCTCAGTATGGTACTGAGTAAAGAATGATGGATCATTATATTCAAAATATCTCCACGTAACAGTAGCATTTCTCAAACTTAAAACTAATAAAGACTGTTTTAACACCCTAGCTGTTCTCTGTACTCCTGCATCCACTACTGGGCATTTGGTTCTGGGAGGCCTTGGTGGGAATCTCCTGGAAACTTCTGTTTGTCAGTTATGCAAACACTGAGGTTCTTGCTGAGTTGGAAGATTATTTGTTAATAAGCATCTGCATTGCTGCAGGATTTTTGTCTAAAGAGCTTTCCTCCCATTGCATTTTAAGGGTGCTGTAAGCTGGCCTAACTAGAGATGTGGTTATCATCATGAACCCTTCTCACGTTTTGTGAATTTATAACTGCAGTTTAAAGAAAAGTCAAGATTTATTTTTAATTGCTGTTTTGCAGGGAGCATTCATTTGCTAGAACACCCTTTTAATCATACATCATGATTTTTTTTAAAACATCCCTTTTAAATACACCTGTCCGTCTGCTGCACCTTGTTTCAACTCTGGTGTTACAGATGTACATCCTCCTGTGCTGAGCACTTTTGTTCTTAGAAGTCTTGTGCTTTCTCTTTATGGGTTTCAAATAGCAATTCAAAATTTTGCAAAAAATTAGAAATTCCTCAGAAGTTTGTATCTGGGAACTTTACTCACTGGCCAAACTCAATTTCCAGGCCAAAAAAAAGAAGTGAATTCCATCTCAGGAGGCAGAGGTGACTCATTTGGTGGGAGAGTGGCCAGGTTTCTGTGCAGGAATGCTGCAGTGCACTCAGCTACCTGTCCTTACCCTCTTTCACCTGCTGCTCCCGCCGTAACACAGTCACCAGCTGGTGTGTCCTTACATCAGTGAATCTGTAGTTTTGTGATTCCATGAAGGGGCCTTTCTTTGAAGAAAGCTACTTGAGCATCAGTCTCTAATTAAATTCTTTTTCATTTTTCCTTCTTGAATTTAAATACAGAAATAACCTTTCTCTTGTACTTTCTCTCTGTTTAAGTACAGAACGCTATAGTGAACCCAGCTCTCATGCGTTCTTGCTTATTTCTATCACCCAGTTCACCCAGCGCAGTTGCTTGCCAAGGAGAAAGGCATCAATTAAGGAGACAAATGTGCATTAGGTTTTCTTGTTTTTTAAAAAAAAAAAAAAATTCCTGTAACTAGAGAAAGGAAAAAGTGGTCTAAAGAAGCACAGTACAGACTGTTGAGGTAATGCCAGGGTCTCAGTTATTTAAACAGAGCCACAGCACTGATGCTGAAACCGTTGTTGAATACATCTCTGGTTTTAGCACAGAGTTGTAGGCTGGTTTTGTACATATTAAATATATGTGTAATAGCACATCTTGCAGGATATACTGCGCTTCTGCAAATGCAGATCCAACTCAAAAGCTAAAATAATGATTGAAACCAGCATATAGCGTATTAAAGTGCCTGTACCTTTTTTGCATTATAGTAGTGCAGTGACCTGGCGGGTCTGTGGTCACTGTACAAAATCTAGCTCTCTCTGAAATGTCCTGGGCATGAAACAGGACTCCAAACTCTATGCTTAAGTCTAGCCTGAGACCTAGTATACAGGGAGAGTAACAGCTATAGCCTTGGGTTGATGTGAATGTGGGGTGCATGATGATGAAAGGAGTAAGTTTATACTTCGCTCTCGTGCTCCACTGTGTTTGAGAGTTGGGTGTTAAAGGTGGTCCTGGCAGCGGCACTGCTTATCTCCGTGAGGTACGTCTGTGCCAACTGTTGGTCACCTACTGCACTGTCAGCAGAGAAGTGGAAATGAAGGGGGAAGTGGGCAGTACCCCTCAGAGGGTATTCGAGCTCTGCCGCTCGAGTCAACACCGTGCAGTCAGGGCCAAAAGGATTCAGAGATTACTGCTGGGGTGTAAAGTTCAACGAACGCCTTCATACCCCCAGTGTGACTGTGAAAGACATATACACTACATTCATTGTATAGGCTGCTTGCATGAATATATCTGTAGATATTCTGACATTAGACAGTCTGTAATGGTTCCAAGCGTTTAGATGTAAAACTGTTGGAAAAAAGAGATGTACTTATTTTAGCAGTGCTGACCCTATCAGCTAAGTAGGCTTAGTTCCCTTTCTAATAACTTACGGTTTTATTAAGCTTCTTTCATGGGAAAATGCCTAGACTTACCATTAAAGCCAAGTGAGTAATTGAGAGTATCTAATGATACTACTGTGCGTGCTATACTTAATGTTTTAAGCACACCCCTTGAGAGGAAAACTAACACTTTCTTTTCTTTCATCAGGCTGATTTTGATGGTGCTGCAGAAAATGTAAAAAAACTAAAAACAAGACCAACTGATGAAGAACTAAAGGAACTATATGGATTCTACAAACAGGCTACTGTTGGAGATATTAATATCGGTATTCCTATTCTTATATATACTTCACATTTACTCCCATATCTTGATGAAATCAAGCAAATGTTATGTAAATTTGCATGATAATTAAAGGTATGCATTTATTTTGGCAGAATGTCCAGGAACGCTAGATTTGAAAGGCAAAGCCAAATGGGAGGCATGGAACCTGAAAAAAGGTGTTACACCAATTAAATTTACATCATGTAGTCATGCGTATAGGATGACAACTGAGGAAAGATAATGACTCCTACTTTCTTTTCAGGTTTATCAAAGGAGGATGCCATGAATGCCTATATCTCTAAAGCAAAAGCAATGGTAGAAAAATATGGGATCTAGAATACTCAAAATAATTCCCACTAATAACTAACTCTTCAGTAGCTAATGAACTAACTCTGTTGAGAAAAATGCAATACTAACTCCTTATTGTGTAGTCTGACAGTAAAATCTTTTAAACATAAGCTGTTTGACTGTAAAGGGTATTTACATACATACTCTATTTTTAGATTGTATCTTACTCTAAATAAATTTGAACCTAATAAATTAAGATTTCCATAAGAATTGTGGATTTTTGTGGGTATTAAATTATATTTAGCGTTTTTACAGGAGCAGACAAATGGAAGCTCTAAAAGTAAAATAATACAACTGTCATTTTTTGCAAACGGGGTTGTGGAATGAAGTGAAGGGTTTGTGCACATGGAAGATGAGAAGAGGGAAAAGATGAAAACTTTTTTAAGACCCAAAGCCAATGTTTATTTTCAAAAAATCAGAAAAACTCCCCTTTTAAAGGATTACAATAAAGATCTGGAGGAACAGAACAACTCTTAGGCATAACTGCATGTAATTGTACAGAAAGAATGACTTATTATGAAGTGCTGTAGACTAATGTTACACCTTCTGCCATTAAAATAGAAGGAAATACTCATAGACCAGCATTTTCTATACATCTTGTTATGTGTTTTGTCAAGAAAATTTCATTGGAGGGTTCCAGCAGATAAAAGTGACCTCCAGGAAGCTTGTAAAAGGAAATATCTCCACTTGTTAGATCATGCCAGGCTGAAAAAGATATTTAAAGTGTCAGAGAAATGTCAACTATTGTGGTCATTTCACATAACTATTTCAAAGTTATTATTTAATAATTATTTAAAAGCCCGTATCAACTGTTTTGGTTCGAACATTGAGACTGCTCTGTTGATCTGTTTCATTTAAGAAGGAGATAAAAGACTCTAGAAAACTCATTAACTGATTTGATACAACAGGAAAACGCTTAAGCGTAAGAGGAAAACCATTTAAACGAGGTACCTTCTAAATCATGTGGTTTATCTTCAGAGCCATCGAAGCAGGTAATATCACAAGAGAAGGGGATATTCCTTTCTGCCTTCTCAAAACTGTGAACATAAAAAGTAGTAATAAAACTTTCCATGAGATACCTATATTTGGGGTTTGCTTCCACGTACAAAATAGCTTTTTCTTTCTCCTCCAAAATGTAACAAACTTCAGGAATTAGATTGTGCAGAACATAGGAATTACTGTATCTGTACGATTCTTAGCTCCTTACCCTACTACAATTAGGTCTAAAAGTTTAAAGAAAGAATGACCCAATAGTTAGGAAAAAAAGAGCTTCAACCTGCAATTAAAATTCTCATCTACAACAAACAATTATGTCATCTGCTTATATTCGAGTTCTAATGTTTCAGGGCCTTATCAGCGTCAGGTTCCTGTGGCCAAAATGGGTCCCACATCTAAGCGTGTCCTTGTCTTTGCCAGGGTAAGAAACCTTAACCGCTCAGTTACGTGAGCTGTTGTGTTACGTCCAGCGGGGACAGCAGTTCGGACAGGAGAAGCTGATTGCTCCCTAGATGCCTAGAACACAGGGATTCTTTGCTTCTGGTTGGGCTAGGGGGCCTTGGATCAGGAGGCTGAATGCAGTGATCCTGAAGCATGATCAGTTGAGCTTATTAGCCTCAGAAAACAATAAAAGTTGTGAGAATATTCCTTTAAGTGGCTACTACCTTTGGATCCTAAGTAGAACTGTAATTCTACCGTGACATGTTCACTACTGTAATAGCAGTAGTGGTTGCTACAGTAAGCAGTGTTTTCACCTAGGGCTTAAATACTAGAATATAAATGGAAAAGCACACAAAGGAGAAAACTATGTTTACTGTTTCATATTATTTTTATAACAGAAACGAGAACAAATTACAGAGAAAGAAAAAAGAAAACCTGAAATGATCAGACAGAAGTAAAACTGTAAAATACAAATATAAATGTAATACAAAATTGTAAAACTTACGAAAATGTCTGAAGAACTCTAAGGTCTTCTCTGAAAGTAAGTATCAGACGTTTCTTAATGTCTTCATTTTGCAGAAGCTCAGAAGGAGTTCCTCCTAAAATTTGTATATATGTAAGAATGTCTTCATCTTCTGCATCATATATGGGTATGCTTTTGATTGGAAGAAATGCTTCAGACTGTCAGCACCAGACAAAACAGATCAGGTGTTGTAGATAATATTCTTTAAATAATATTTTCATTAAGAATTGTTTTAGTAAAAAAGTACAATGATTCTCTGTCTCCAAAATACAATGGCTGATTAGTTTAACATCCACAAAGAATACTTCTTGGAAAGGGTTAGTAGACTGTGTTTGCTGAAAATACAGATTATGAGTGAGCCAAGTACCCTCAAGGTCTGAAACTTCCGCAGACAAATAACCATTAAGTTAATTTTGTTCAAAGTTTGACTCTCACTATTGAAATCCAACTAATAAAATAATCTATTTAAGAGAACGAAAAGCCTAGCAGTGGACACAAATCCAACTAATGTAGGACTGGAGAGACCAACCGATTATGGAAATTTGCAGGAATAATAATTGCTTCTATGAAGTACTAGCTCGTACTCAGGATGGCTGAGAAGCCCCAAAAAAGAAGAATGGAAATAGCAAATGCTGACTGAGGACAGGAGGACTGGGAAAAAGCCACTTCACTGTTGTTTTCCTGAGAAAGACTAGCGGAACCACCAGAACCTCAGAAGGAACTGAGGACAGATTAAAAAGCCAACAAAGAATGAGGAGGGAAAGAAATAAACGGACAAATCATAGAATCATTGAGGTTGGAAAAGACCTCTAAGATCATTGAGTCCAACCGTCGACCCAACACCACCATGCCCACTAAACCATGTCCCTAAGCGCCTCATCTACACGTCTTTTAAATACTTCCAGGGATGGGGACTCAACCACTTCCCTGGGCAGCCTGTTCCAATGTTTAACCACTCTTTCAGTAAAGAAATTTTTCCTTACATCCAATCTAAACCTCCCCTGGCGCAACTTGAGGCCATTTCCTCTTGTCCTGTCACTTGTTACTGAGGGCTGGTGCAGGAGGTTTATGAAAAACTGGATTAAGACAGTTATTTCACATGTTACAAAGTAGGGAGTGGCACTTCATATTTTGTTTTGATTACTTTTAAATATTAAGCCAAAGGCCATAGTAAATAATACAGTATTCAAAAAAGGTAGCATTAGCCTAAGGAGACTGTTCTCCCTAGGCTAAGGTTAGTAGCAGTGAATATTCTGTAACGTGAAATTCTCTGTCTGCCTCAGAATTAATTTCCCCCAAGAAAACAGAACATTTTTCTGCATGCATTCAGAAGCAATGCTTGTTCCGTATTAAAGCCACTCTGCATACCATACTGTAAAATGTTATTTTTACTCTTGGTAGCTAATACACTGTTTTGTTTCGTATTATTAATGATTCTGTAACTTACGTGTGGGGCATGTGCCCCTGATACAAAAAGATGGATCGGCTCTAGTCCATACTTTTCTTTCAAGTGTAGCGCAACTGCAAAACTAATATAAGATCCAAAACTGCAGCAAAAAGAGAAATTAAAGCGAAGTAAGCAAAAACATATGTAAAACCAGGAAAATTTAAACATAATTTGAATTTCAGTGCTAACTGGCTATCTTGAACAGTTACTGAAACTATATATGACATGTGAATTATAGTGATATTAGCTAATTGACACAAAATGTATTCCTATACAGTCTAGTTTTACAAATCAGACCTTTTTTTAATCTCTCTTTCTTTTAGTAGTCTCCTTAATTTGCAGTAAGAACAGTTATTTTGAATACTTGGGACTAAGTGATCTTCAAAATCTATGTGTTTTATGAATGGTTTACCCCCTGCATTCATATAGAGCAAGCACTGACACAAATATTAACAGTAAACACAATTATAATTTATCAGTGTAAAAAAAAAAAAAACACAACGCTGCCATTTTTCAAAGACATTGTGCCTGCAGTAATAAACAAATAACCAGAGTCTTTGAGATCAACAGCATGTTTTAGGACAAAAGACCTTTGCAGAAGTGTATTTTCCTAAAGTTTTTGCAAATACAGGCAAGTAACTATCTACTCCTAGAGTTCAAAGAGAAAGCTCCTTCACCAGGGTATCTAAAAATGTATATATTTTTACCTGTGACCAAAAAATGCAAATGGTTTTTCTTGCAATTCTTTTAACAAAACACTTGTAATTTCATTAACTACGGTTGTCATGTCTTTCGCAAAAGGCTCCTTAAGACGAGATTCTCTTCCAGGAAGCCTTACAGAGGACACTGCAGAAGAGGTGGAGGAAGGGAGGGAAAAGAATTATAGTTATTTCAAATAGAAACAGTAAAAGAATTTTAATTAAATTTTTTTAATCTATTCTGCAGAATATATAGATTATTTAAATTAATCCTTCTTACAGTTGATACAGTGTATTTGCTATTGCTACTACTGTCTTTTAATCCTGTGAGAGATTAAGTTTCCATCCCTTCCTTTACTCACAAATGTTGCCTCTCCAATTGATCTGATTGATAAATGCCTTGGGTCATAAATCCACAAGGTCCTGATATCAGCTGAGGTTTCAAAGCAACTTTATTACAGTTAGTATTTATAACAACCACAAATTCATTAATTTCAATAATACCAAGTTTGAGGGTTGTGTAAAATTTATACTTTCAAGGGCAGCATTAGAAAGTTAAACTATATTAGAATCGTACGGTCCCTGTTTTCTTCTTTGCAGGCTCTTCAGCACTGTACGAAGTAAAACATGGAATCATAGTATAAATTGATGGCAATTTATATTTATATGGAAGGGCATATTACATGCTTTTATTATATTCCTTTCAAAATTGGGGATGTTCCTCTCACTGTTTAGAGAAAGTAAGGAATGAATAGATCAGAAAAAAATGTTGATTTTCTAAAATCTCCTTGACATCACACATACTGCCAAACTTATATGGAAGTAATGGGTCAGACGCAAAGTATTTTAGAAGAGAGAGAATAAACCACTACCTAATACGATAGATAGCAGTACATATACTTCCTTTCTGCACAAAACATCTCTGAAAGAGCATGCTGCACCCTGATTTTATTCATCTGTGTCTGCAGTTGCTCCTAGGCCATCTCCTTAGTAACTTTGCTGGAAGTAGTTCCAGTGGACAAAAGATTTTTTTTTCAGAAATTCATTCTGTGCAGTCTCTCAACATTAAAAATAGTTCTCATATCTTCACTGTTAACCTTGCTGATGCTGATGCCTTTTTTTTAACATATTAACAATATGCCAGTGTATTGCTGTTTCTGAATCATACCAATAGTTTCTGAAGCAGTCAAGCATACTATAATCTTGTGAAATTTAGCTCTGAGGATATAACTTTTTAACCTAGTCAAATATAATTTGATCCAAGGTGGTACAGAAACTTAGTAAACTCGGCACCCTAATGGAATGCTAATTCCTAATGGAATTCCTTTCTGGATAACACCCATTGGAAAAAGATTGCAGTGCTCTCAAGAACACTGTATTCCATTCAAAAACTTGGCTACCGTGTATTTCAAACTTGCTTAACTTCTGCTTTAACTACACAAATGACTAACCTTCAATTGAGCTGCTGAAGAGTTTGCCCCATTGAGCAAGCTGAGAAGTTCCACCTCCAGCCCACGGAAAACAAATCAGCCTACAGAGAGCATTTGGCCTTTGGTATAGACAAGCAACCAGCTTCTCCATTCCTAAAAAAAACCCCATGAAAACAACACATCATTCTAAAACAAGATTCTTCAGGTATAGGAAAATTAGAGTGAATTAAGTCTAATTTGAAACAATGGGCTGCAATATTTTCTGTCATCAGAACTGCTTGTGCTACAACAACCTGTTAGATACGAGATAATGATCATGCAACAGTGGAAACCAGTTCTGCTTTTATAAACGGTGATGGAATAGTACTGGGCAACACCCTTGGTTAATATTTTCTCCTATTTGAGTCACTGACCACAAAGAACGTAACAAGCAGCAAAATAAATTGATATGGGATTTCAGGATGGCTATTTAAAAACACAGGCTTTTACACCATCCGCAAAAATATAAGGTCCATCTAAAGACCTAGAAAACATAAGGACCACCTACTTCAATATTCTCTCTACTACAGTGGATGTCTAGGGATGCAGTTTCTTTATATACAGGAAACATCTATGAATTTCTCTTTCATGTATTTATCCTGTCTCCTCTTAAATTCCTATGAACAGGTAGCATCTACAACATCCTCTTGCAACGAGTTGCACAGCTCTACTATCTGTTGCATAAAGAATTATCTCCTTTTTTGATTTTAATCCAACTCCTACAACTTCATTTGATGGCCACAGGGTAGTATGGTAAAGAAAGTGAATGGCGCATCTCTCAGGATTTGCCACTGAGCATTTATGAGATCTTCTCTCATATTCTCTCTGTCCTCAGTCAGCTCTTTTTCTTGAATGAAAAGGCCTGGTTTGCTAACGTATCCCTCATATGGCAGTGCTTCCATACTCATGACCATCATTGCTGCCCATCTCTGGACTTTTTCTAATTTTGTTATATCCTTTTTGAGATGGTGGAGTAACCAGAGCCACATTCAGCTTTATCACAGCAGCTTTAGTATTTTTGTTTACTGAGTGACAGAAGTAACAGCTGAAGCAAGATTTATAACTACTCCTTCCTTTTTGCTGAGAAGGAAAAAATAGCGTCAAAGATGCCAACTGCATTGTCTCTAGCATCAGATACTGTCTTTACTATCTGAAGAAAAAAGCAATTCTCAACCATTTTTATTCTTCTTTCTCAATTTTCTTGTCCTTTATTTTTGCTGATTACATTTGTGGACATAAGCACTGAAGTGACATCCTACGACTTATAGCATATCAGGCTGTGTTCTGTCAAAAGAACCTGGGAACACCATGTGCAACAGAAATACCTGGTAAAGATAAATTAATTAGAAGCAATAGTGATACAGAATTTAAAAAAAAATGTTTTCTGCAACCATTAGAATAAAGTCACATGTTCTTGTTAAAAAGACTGAAAAAGTAGTAATTAGGAGATAACAAGCAGCAAAATTCCATTTCCAAAATGCTGAAACTTGTTACAGGTATTATTTCTCGGTGTGAATATAGCTCAGTGTATGCAAGGGCTGATTCATCATAAAATACACCTATATGCCTAGATGCAGTCTTTTTCACCTGCACAAAAAGCTTGAGAAATGCAACCGGATCAGAATAGGCAGCAATTCATACCTGTTTTAAAACAACGTAATGCAAGCAAGATGGAAGAAAATCTACCCAAATGTTGCTGTGGCTAAAATTTTCTTGATTTTCACGTATGTTTAAACTAGAAAGTTTGTCACCATTTGTTAAGAATCAGTTCAAAGAAACTGTAAGAACAGCAAGCCAAACAAACTTCTATCAAAAATCAATGGGCAGATGATGTGAGCTTAAAAATAGCTGAAGGATAGTGGAACCAGTGCTGCAGAAGACGTAATTCTTCTGGTAGGGTCATTTAGCATCAGTGCCATAAGTCCCATTTACACAGTCACTTCTTCCACAAAAAGGCACAAAAACTCAAACATTTCTGAAGCCGGTGTTTTAACTTAACAGTCAAGTAAGAAAAGAAAAATCTCTTCTCAAACTGATTCCAAAGGTGATACAAAAATTTCAAGCATGATAAAGAAGCGCATTTAGTCAAAGTCCTTAAACTATTTAAAGATACGTTACCAGTCACTGAGACTCTCACACTTTCTACTCGTACAGGTTTATTCCATCACCATCCAGCTTACTTTAGATGCAAATACCTGAACAGTTGGGAAGACCACCAGTGCCAGGAAATGACAGCTCGAGGGTGGAATCCACCTCTCAGCGCTGCACAGCAAGAAGCAGGAATCAGAATTTGTACGTATCAGCAGATATGGGAGCAAAGCCAGCCTTGCAGGAGAGGAGGGGATGTGCATCCAGGTGGCACAGCCGCCTGCTTTAAGTCTTTTCTAGGCTTAAGGGGAGGAGCCCACACCCCAGAAAAAAGGCAGGGACTGAGGCACACAGCATCCCAAAAGGGAGGCAGAAGCATCATGTGTTGGGCATGACACACAGCATTTGGCAGCAATATAAGGAAGGTGCGCCACATCAAGCCCAGCGATTTAAGAAGCACAGGTTAACATGCCCATGGCAGTATAGAAGTTGTAGCAGTTTTAATACAGGGAGGCCCACAACCTCGCTGAAGAAAAAGCCTGCATAAAGTAACCAAGAAAAGACAGCCTTTTGTAAGAACTATATTCAAAAGCACAGTGCTCACACCTCTGCTAGACAGTTTTGTAGGGGTCTGAAAATGTTAACGTAGAAGACCATCACCTGATTTGAATAAAACACTGCATTTAGTTAGTAGGCCAGCTATAATTTCTACAAGCTGGAAGACATAGCAGTGCATGAACAACACACTTTGGTTACATATGATGATTTTATATTATCTGCTATGTTGTGCTCCTGGGGACCAGATGCTATCAGCAACCTAAAAACACCAGTATATTTTGTAACTGCATTTGTAGTACTAGGAATATTGGCTTCTTTTTTTTTTTTTTTAGCGCTACTCTACCAAAAATATTGGTAACAGTAAATAAAAAATAAAAATACTCAAAAGCAGTGACCAAAACTAAGGAACCTGAGTGCCAAAATGGGTTCTGATGCTTAACCTGAGACACATAAGCTGGACTACTTTGTTCTTCGTTCTTCTACATTTCTCTTCATCATTTCTAGGAAACTGAAAAATCTGTGGTGTTAAGAGAAAAGCCTGCCTGTTGACCTAGCCAGTCAGTAAGCACTGCTCCTTTCCCAAATGAGGTCTGCAGTCTTCTTACTCACTTCTGATTTCTGCTTTCCTGGGGAACCCTAAATCAACCCTTCTGACTGCAGCAGTTTCTGTGGGAAGCCGCGGGCTCCACAGTGAAGGCTGGTCCGGGGCCCTGCAGCTACCACTTCCATATGGTGGCAAAAGTGGAAACTGTTGCTAAGGCTTCTTTCACAGTACTTTCATGTTGTAATTATTATGAAGTAAGATGAGGCACACCTATGTTTGGAAGGTGCACAATTTAAAGCAGCTTATACTGGCTAGTCCTGACCTGTACTATTGTGCCCAATAGTGCTTCTCCACATGATGTATCTGCTATCACAGGTATTTGATTCTAAGGTACAATTTATAATAAAGCACCTAATATGCTTTATTTATTCCTACCTCAAATTGTGCCAACTATAAAATCTGACACCCAATGTTAATGTTATGAAAGCCAGCTGTTATAAACATCAGGCCCACAAATAATGTTCCTAAAAGCAATAAAATACTACCAGAAACAATTATTTCCTAACTAAGGCTGAAAATAAAGTAGGTTAAGAATAAGATTTTGAAAGTATAGCATTAATCAAATAGCATGGTATTTCCTTAAAAATAATGAATTATAAATTGTGTGTGTTGGTTGTTTTTGTTTGCCTTCTAATTTTTTTCTCGGTATGAAAGGACTAGAAATTTATTGGTTTTCATATGAAAAATCAATATTTTCACAAATTAAGAGTTCAAGGAGATGCCACTCTCAACCAAAATTATGTTTGCCATTTCCAGGGCTGAAGGTAAAGGAGGGCTTTACAGAACCAACTTTGCCAACTCAGTACTAGTATAGAATAGAATAGAATAGAATAGAATAGAATACAATACAATACAATA